CGGGGAAACACAATATAATCTACAACAGAGAATGAAAACACTTTAGATCTTCATAACTGCAGCAAAGAGGTACATTAGGGAGGAATAGCTTTTCACCAACATTATCAAGGAAATTATCATATGACACCCTAATAAGATGCCCTTCATTTAAGAAATACAGCACCATGTTTAAGATGCTCTTGAGGAGCACTGTACAGATAGTTCTGTGGTATTCAAATTTTACCATTTTGAAAATTGCTTTGTATGTTCAAACTGTTCTTACAAGGCACCCTTCTGTTTTGATTGTTTTTTTTTCTTTTAGACATTTTACTAATTATGTAATTGGGCCAAGACAGCACCTTTTCTCTCTTATGCATCTGAAGGTATGAGAGAAAAATGAAAAATGGGTATTCCCATTTATTCAAGACAATGATCAAGTTCTCTATTCTGAACATTCAAGCGAGAGAGAAAAAACAAAGAAAGGAGTATTCTAACCATGCTGGTACGAAGTAGAATGAGATACTATACTGACAGTAGCAAGAAATTTACACAGCACTTTTATTTTTAATAGAAGCCACAACACAAAGGAAATCACTCCCTACTTTGGACTTATTATCAAGAAAATCCTTTTTGTTATCAGTTCAAATATCCTTATATAAAGGAGCTCCTAAATACCAGCTTCTAAAAATAGAGAGATGACCAGTCAAAGCAATTGGAAGTGGGTTACAGAGTAAGGAAGAATCTCACTTCTACTGAGTATGAACCCAAAGCACCTATATAAAAGGCTTGAAAAATCCAGGAGAGACAAAACTAATGGATATTGCAAGCATATGTAAAAATTAACTTTCTCAAACCCAGATTTGTTATCTTCAAAATGGAGTTGAAGCCATGACATTACTTTGCCCATGATGTGCTTAACTGACATAGTATTTTAACTATTTGTTCAAAAAGTTGTTTTTATTATCATCACACTTCACTATGGGAAGTCATGGGATAGTTATAGAAAAGGCAGTTTTCCCCCTCTCTTTAAACACTCTTAGCCATTTTCAGTCTGGAGTCAGAATAATCTAGACATGCAATTTAAATTTACATAAGCCACATCTTAAAACAGTGACCATTATCTGGCAAAGAGGCTACCAGTGATCCACACTGTATTGAAAGACAAAAGGCAAAATGGAAGGAAGTTTGGGTTACTGTGAGTTTTCCAGGCTGTATGACCATGTTCCAGAAGCATTCTCTCTTGATGTTTTGCCCACATCTATGGCAGGTATCCTCGGAGGTTGTGAGGTCTGTTGGAAACTAGGCAAGTGAGGAATGTTGAAATACCTGTCCAGGGTGGGAGAAAGAACTCTTGTCTGCTTGAGGCAAGTGTGAATTTTGCAACTGGCTACCTTGAATAGCATTTAATGGCCTTGCAGCTTCAAAGCTTGGCTGATTGCTGTCTGGGGGATCCTTTGCTTGATTCTTGTCTGGAATTCCCCTGCTTTTTGAGTGTTGCTCCTTATTTACTGTCCTGATTTTAGAGTTTTTTCTGACTTCACTGTTCAGAAAGTTGGATAGAACCAAATTAAATCCCTTACGATACATGGGCAAAGGAACTGCACAAAGCTGCGGGGGACATACAAGAAAAGCTGAGGACCACTTTCCCTTTAATACAGTTTTTAGAAAAAAGGAAGCATCCATGCCCAGAGCAAACCCTGCCCTTCTTCATTCTGAATAGAACTCAGATATGGAAGATCACACATTTCAACAGCATGACCACCCTGGTTTTACTCATAGGCACTTCACAGAATAATCCTGTGCTCTGAAGGGGGTCAGAAGACTGGGGGGGGGGGGGACGGGGGGACACAAGAGCCTTTGCCTATCTTGGTTCTGCTATACAGAATGAGAGATGGCAAAGTGTTGGGACTAGGACACTAAGACAATCAGGGCTATGTAAATCCACTGAGTGGTCTGGGGCAAGTCACACAGACTCAGAGGAAGGCAAGAAGAAAGTCCCCTTTGAACAGGTTCTGCCCTCAAAAAGGCGATAGGTAAAGGTAGTCCCCTGACATTGAGTCCAGTCATGTCTGACTCTGGGGTGTGGTGCTCATCTCCATTTCTAAGCCGAAGAGCCAGCGTTGTCCGTAGACACCTCCAAGGTCATGTGGCTGGCATGACTGCATGGAGCGCCGTTAAAAGGCAATAGGGTTGCCTTAAGTCAGAAATGACTTGAAGGCAGAGCTAGAAGACTGGTGAAAGAATACAAGAGTCTTAGTCTGCCTTGGCTCTCAAATACAGGATGAGGGACACAAAGTGTTGGGACTAGGGCAATAAGGGCTATGTAAATCCACTGAGTGATTCCACTGACAAGTAACAACCCCAGAGATTACTTCGGTCTGAAGACCAAAATTTGAAGTCCCCAACATCTAGACTTATCATCTGTCCTCTACTAGGCAGAGAGCCTTCTCGATTGTAGCCCCTTATTTATGGAATGCCTTGCCAGTTGAAACCCGATCTATCCGAGACCTACTTGCTTTTCGGAGAGCCTGTAAAACCTTTCTCTTCCGACAAGCTTTCGATGGGTGAATAACTCGGGACTATGTCTGTTCTTGTTTTTATTGTATTTTAAAGTTAATTGTTTTAATCTACTGCTGTAAACCGCTCCGAGCCAAATTGGGAGTAGCGGTATACAAGTCAAATAAAAAATAAATAAATAAATAAATAAATAAAAACACTCTACAGCCTCAGAGGAAAGCAAGAAAAAAGTCCCATCTGAACAAATTCTGCCTTCCAAAAAAGACGATAGGGTTGCTTTAAGTCAGAAATTACTTGAAGGCAGAGCTAGAAGACTGGTGAAAGAATACAAGAGACTTAGTCTACCTTGGCTCTCAAATACAGGATGAGGGACACAAAGTGTTGGGACTAGGGCAATAAGGGCTATGTAAATCCACTGAGTGGTCTGGGACAAGTAACACTCTTGCAGCCTCAGAGGAAGGCAAGAAAAAAGCCCCATCTGAACAAATCCTGCCTTCCAAAAAAAAAAGACGATAGGGTCCCTGTAAGTCAGAAATGACTTGAAGGCACAACAACGATGAGAAGCACAACTACTCCTTAACCATGGACAGCGAATGTTAAGAAGAGGGTGTGCGTTAGCTGAGGCTCAAGTTTGGTTTATTCCCTTCCTCCTCAAATTCCCAATTTAGAAGAATCACACAAACAGACCCCAATTCCAACCATATTTACTGTACTAGTATTAGTTACGACGCAGGTGATGTGTTTGTTCATTTTTTAAAATGTTGAATTATAGGTTTATGCCCCCCCCCCTTTTAATAGAAATTAGTATATTTACAAAGGGCATCGCTTGGGACTCGGGGCAGGAAGACCCAGGTGGGAATGGGGCCTAACTCTCCAGGGTTGTTGTTGTCCTTGTTGACACTCCGGCACAGCTATCCCTCGAGGAACAGACCTGGTCACACGCAACTCTTTTCCCCGATACACTGTACGAAAAAGGAAGGGGGAAACAGGGCAGCAAGAAGCGGAAGGGGTTGAACCCATTGCTGACAGGACAAGCCGATCCCGCCCCCCCCCCTCAAAAAAGCCCCTTAATATGTCCACCCGCTTCAGGAGCTGCTTCCCGGCCGTTAGGCTCCAGGTCAAGGAGGCGCGCGCACACGCACGCACGCATCCAGGCGCGAGGCCAGCCCCGCCGCGTCACTTACGGTTCCTTAGGAGCGGTGAGGGCGCGCGCCTTGCCGTCGCGTGGCAGCCGATGAGGAGGGAGGGGGCTGAGGGAGGAATCTCCGCGGATAGTCCCTCAGCCGCACGGAAGAGGACCAACCGCCTCCCGCCCTCCCGCCCGAGCAACTGAAGGGGAAGGAGGGGCTACTCCCGGCAAGTAGCCCGAGCGCGCGGAGGGGGGCGGGGCCAAGGAAAGGAGCAAGGCGGGCCGCGCGACACTTCTCTCCCAACCTCCAAACTTCATTCGCTCCTCGGGGGGGAAGAGGAGGGGGGAGGATTTCCCGAGCAGCCAATCCCTGAGCCGAACACCTCCCTCGAGCGGCTTGGAAGGGTTAGTAACCAGCCGAGGCAAACGACAGCGGGCGGGTTGGCAGGAGTGAAAGGCGGGCCAATCGGAAGACGAAGGCTTTGAAGCTCAGCCAATCAGAAGCGCAAGGGGCGGGGGGAAAGGCCCCGTCACCGCCCCCTTCTTGTGCCATCGAGGCACAGGCTGGTAGATGACACCTCGACAAAGAGAAACGCGGGGCGCGCATGCGCCGTAGGCACCGTCACGTTTTCGCTTGTCATTGTTCGGCTTCAGTAGTCCCCGCGCGCGCCTTTCTCCCCCCCCCCTCCCCGCCTTCGCCTTTAGGAAACATTTCACTAAGCTACTAACAACAACATGACATAGTGACATAGTTAAAAAAATAGAACCCAAGAGAAAACTCTCCAGACATTGCATATTTATTCTGTGTTGCTTCATAATTGGTTCAGAGATTGCGTTGGTTGAATTGTGGTGGAGGCTCCTTCTTTGGAAGGTTTTAAACAGAGACTGGATGGCCATCTGTCAGGGGTGATTTGAATGCAGTATTCCTGCTTCTTGGCAGGGGGTTGGACTGGATGGCCCATGAGGTCTCTTCCAGCTCTTTGATTCTGTGATTCTATGATTCCCTTCTAAAAAATGCCTGGGACCAAAAGTGTTTTGCATTTCAGATTTTTAAGAATTTTGGAATATTGGTTTGCATCTAAAGTCCACCAAATGAGAGATCTTGAAAATGGGACCCAAATCTAAGCCTGGGACACATTGATGTTTTATGTACACTTTATAATATCGCTTGGAGGTAATTTTATATAATTTAAAAAAAATAATGGTGTGCATGGAACACAAAGTTTGTGTACACTGAACCAGCAGAAAGCAAAGGTGTCTCTATGTCAGCCACCAAAGTGGATAATTTCAGATTTTGGTGTGTTTTGGAAGCCTGGCTAAAGAATACTCAACCTGTATTCAGGTCCCTGCAAAACTATTAAATAGAGGCATGAGATCCAGCAAATCATCAGGGATGAACACAGGCAGCAGCTCTAAGCAGATTCACTGCCCACTATTACATTTATCTCTGCTTGCGTCTGCCCGCCTCCGTAAGCAATGTAATTATTATCCTGGAGAGCTGGCACAGGAACAGAAAGGTGGAGATGCGAATGCACTTCTGCGAAAGGCTGCCTGCAGTCCTTCCTTGGATGAAAGCCCCAATGTATCTGGGGTGTGACTTACTTGGGGATTCTGTTGCCAAAGGCTTTCATGGCCAGAATCACTGGGTTGCTGTGAGTTTACCGGGCTGTATGGCCATGTTCCAGAGGCATTCTCTTCTGATGTTTTATCCACATCTATGGCAGGCATCTCTGAGGTTGTGAGGTCTATAGGGAAGTAGGGTTTATATATCTGTGGAATGTCCAAGGTGGGAGAAAGAACTCTTGTCTGCTTGAAGCAAGTGTGAATGWTGCAATTGGCCACCTTGATTAGCACTGAATGGCTTTGCAGCTTCAAAGCCTGGGTGCTTCCTGCCTGGAGGAATCCATTATTGCAGGCATGTAGCCGGGGAGGGAGGGGGGCTCAATATATCCCATATGCATGAGGCTATTGGGATAATGATACAAAAGGTTTGCTAGGGTAGATCCTCAGTCCCCCAAATAAAACTAAGCCCCCCCCCCCGAATCAAAATCCTGGCTACGGGCCTGCCTTGTTGGCCCCTGCTTTGTTGGAGCCAATGTTGCGGGCCAATGTGCGAAATGAGTTAAAGGATAGGCTAGTCTATAAGGTGGATAGAACGTATAGTAACATAGGAATAGAGCAATTAGACAGGATAATTTCAGTTTAACTTAAAAGTGCCTAAATCAAATATAAGAACTTGAATTCAGGTCATGGTTAGAGACCATCTGTCAATGGAGTCGTTAGTCGAATGCACAACGAAACATCCATGTCTTTAGTTCCTTATGGAATGTGGATAGGGAGGGTGCCAGCCTAATCTACCGGGGGGGGGGGGGGTTCCAGAGATGAGGGTCCACCTCCGAGAATGCCCTTTCTCTCGTCCCCCAATGAGGTGGGGGTGGGAGTGAGAAGAGCATCCTCAGAAGATCTTAAGGACCGTGTGGGCTCGTAAGGGAGGATGTGGTCATGAAGATAGGCAGGTCCTGAACTGTTTTGATCTTTATAGGTAATAATCTGCACCTTAAATTGGGTCTGGAAGCTTATCGGCAGCCAGTGGGACTGTTTAAACAGGGGGATTGACCGCTCCCTCTAACTTGCTCCAATTACACACAACATGTCACATATCTTATCTTGACAGTTCATAAAGCAACTGCTCTTTGGCAGCTGACATGCCTTAAATGTTAATTGAGATTATTGTCATAGTTGATTCTGAAAAGATCAATTTTTGGTTTGGATGGTTGCATACTACAAGTTGCTTCTGATGTGAGAGAATCAGCCGTCTACAAAGACGTTGCCCAGGGGACACCCAGATGTATTACCATCCTGTGGGGAGGCTTCTCTCATGTCCCCCTACATTTGGTGACAGAACTTGTATTGCCAGAGAGATCTACCACAGGCTTCACACCCAGGGCCGTAGCCAGAAAAATTTTTTGGGAGGGGTTGAAATTTTCGGGGGGGGGGGGTTGAAACCTGCCTTCTAGCTCAGGCTGAAGCAAAGAGCACAGTAGGGGGCAGAGCAGCCTTCAATAGCCTGCAGCTCCGCCCCTGTCAACCACCTCCACCAAGTCTGGCCTCCTTAATGAGAGCATTCAACACACACACACCCAACTTGGTTGCTTCACTACATCGGCTATTGCTGCAAGTAATGACAGTGTGAATAAATTGTCAATATTTAAGGCCTTGCATGGTCTGGGGCCGATGTACCTGAGGGACCGCCTCACCCCCTACCAACCCCAGAGATCCCTCCATTCTGAGGACCAAGATCTATTGGAAATTCCCAGTGTCAAGACCTTGCGTCTAACAGCAACCAGACGCAGAGCCTTTACAGCAGTAGCACCATAACTCTGGAATACTCTGCGACCTGAAGTCCGAGCCTTGCGGGACTTATCAGCTTTCCGCAGGGCATGTAAGACATATCTGTTTCGGCGGGCCTTTGAGCTCTGATATTGCTGTTTTTTTTTTTTTAGAATAATTTTTATTGTGTTTTTAACATTAATATACACATAGACAACGAAAACAACAAATGTGAAAGAGGTGGGTTGAATGGGTTAGGAGGGAAGGGGGGGGTTGAAGTGTGGATTGGGGAGGAGGGAGGGGTGGATACATATATATATATAAAAAAAGGGAACCAACAGTCCCATCACCTTCCCCTTAAAAGTCCTAAAGTGAGTTGAACTTCCCAAAAGTCTTCTGAGGATTGAAAATTTTCCAGAGTTTGTTATGTTGTTTTGTTAGAGTCCTCTCGAGTTCACTTCGATGTGTACATTCAAAGGCGGGATAGATCTATTTTAAATGGTATCTTCCTCGATCTAATAAAGTCTCCGAAGCCCGACCAGTCTGTTTTAGCTTGGGTGTTGTTTAGTTTTTGTGATAAGTTGTCCATTTGTATTAAATCAAAGATTTTTATTATCCAGTCTTCAGCTTTCGGTATCTCTTCCTGTTTCCATAATTTTGCGATTTGTAATCTGGCTGCGGTGCTAAGCATGAATAACATTTTTTCTTGGTTTTTATTTAGTTTTTCTTCTGATATTCCTAATAAATAGGTTTCTGGTTTTATAGGAAATTTTGCTTTTAATATTTTTTGGCACATATAATGGATTTCTTTCCAGTATTTTCGGATTCGTTTACAAGTCCACCAGGTGTGCATAAAGGTTCCTTTTTCTTTTTTGCATTTCCAGCAGGAATTGGATATCCCTTTATTAAATTTCGACAGTTTTACAGGGGTGTAATACCAGCGGTATAACATCTTGTACCAGTTTTCCTTTATATCATTTGCCGCTGTGTATTTTAATTTTTTGTTCCATACTGTTTCCCACTGTTCTAAGGATATACTATGTCCAATGTCTTTTGCCCACTGTATTTGGCAGTTTTTGATTTGTTCTTCTTCCGTGGACCACATTAATAATTTTTTGTATATAATTTTAATTAGTTTTTTTCTTTTTGCATAATTAATTCCCAGAGGCCTTCCTCCTGACAGAAGCCTAATTTATTGTCTTCTTTAAAGTTTTGTTGATATTGCATATATTGTAGCCAGGTTATATTTTTGTCTAGAAGTTTCATTTCTTCGAATGATTTCAAAGCAAATTTTCCATCCGATAATTTTTGGAGAATTTGTTTATAGTTTAACCAGTTTCTTTCTCCCATATTTCTTTTGTGTCTGGCTTCCATTGGCGATAGCCACATTGGGGTCTTGTTATAAAACCTGGGTTTATATTTTTCCCAGGTCTTAAAGAGAGCTGTTCTTATATAATGATTATTAA